GTGCCAGACTGTGGGGGGGGGGCGCGCCACTAAGTCCCAAAGTGTAGAAAATTGTGTCTGCTGCTGGTGCATATGTATTCTCTCTGCTCTAGCTGCACAGAGATGGTGGAGTGCTGTGCTGGAGGAAGGAAGGCACAAGAGACATAACAGGCAGGCAGGAGAAAAGGTGAGAGGGAATAACAGAAAGCAGCAGGAGCTGCAGGGAGAGAGAGGAGGAGGAGCCTCTTATGTACCTCTCTAGCACCTCCAGGAGCCTGGACTGATTAACACCAGCTTCTCAGGGAGCTTCCTGTTTCCTGCTGCTTCCCTGAACCCACTTGATAAGAACAGGCAGTCAACTGAAGTAGTAGGAGCCAGTTAGGCCCTTAAGATGCTGATATCTTCCCTCACTCAGGCCCTGCTACAAGCCTGCTTATTTGTCCCCTTCAATTGAGTGTTGAGAGCCACTATAGCTGGCACAGAACAGCAGTCATGAGTGAAAGAAGAAAACGCCCCTCTGGGGCAGCATTCAGAAAAAGCAAGCAAGCAAAGGAAGCTTTTCTATCTAAGCAGGAAGGAGCTCTCCTGAGATACATAGACACAAATGTTCACGGTGAGCCTTCCGGCCCCAGTGTGGATGTGAGTGGTGAGGAGATGCCTGATCTTCCAGTTAGTCAGAATGCAGGTGACCTGGCAGCTACTGCAGCATCCATATCTCCATCTCAAATGAAGGTAACCATGCACATTCCTGAAGAAAAGTGTAGATCAGAGTGTGGTGGAGGCGCAAGAAACAGCTGCTGCTGAGTTTAGTTCCTGAAAGTCTAAATGATCCAGGACTGTGGACCCACTTGAGCAGTAGCCTGAGGGACTTCCTTGTACTGCATGGGCCACAGCAAGTGAAAAACTTCATGTTCCCCAAAGAAAATGAAAATAGAAGTTTCCATCCAACACATTACTGGCATGAAATCCCCAATGGTGACAAAGTGGAGAAGCCATGGCTTATGTACTCAAAAACCCAGAATACTTCATACTGTTTTTGTTGCAAACTCTTCCAGTCTAATGTTCCAGTTACATTGGGTTCTACAGGAACAAAGGACTGGAAAAATCTGGCTAGAAATCTGGCATGCCATGAGAAGGCAGCAAATCACCAGAGAGCATTCCATAGGTGGAAAGAGCTTGAGATGAGACTAAGGTTAAAGGCCACCACAGATGATCAGCATCAAGAGAAGATTGCATCAGAGATTCTTTACTGGCAAAATGTTCTGAAAAGGCTCACTGCCATTGTGAGAATGCTTGCTACCCAAAACCTAGCACTGCGTGACACTTCAGATCAGCTGTATGTGCCAAACAATGGAAATGTCCTTAAAATTGTGGTGCTGATGGCTGAGTTTGATGCTGTGCTCCAGGAGCATCTAAGAAGAGTCACCACCCAAGAATGTACACACACTACTATCTTGGAAAAATAATTCAAAATGAGATCATACAGTTACTGGCAACAAGAGTCAAACAGAAGATTGTGGTAGATCTGAAGTCAGCAAGATATTATTCTGTTATTCTGGACTGCACACCTGACATCAGCCATATGGAACAAATTATTTTAATGGGCATTTTGTAACAACAACAGAACCTAGTGAAAATGTCCCTGAAATGGTGACTGCCAGAGAGCATTTTCTAGAATTTATTGACATTGATGATACTACAGGAGCTGGTATGACAAATGTGCTTCTTAAAAAGCTGGAAGATACTGCTTCTTAAAAATGTGCTTCTTAAAAAGCTGGAGTTGCGATAGCTGACAGGAGAGGTTAGGGCTACGATAATGGTGCCAACATGAGAGGAAAGAAGAGAGGAGTGCAGACACGGATCTGAGAGTTAAACCCTCGAGCTTTTTTTGTCCCATGCAGTTCTCATTCATTGAACTTGATGGTCAGTGATGCAGCCTCAGCTTCTAGTGAGGCTGCTGAATTTTTTAATGTAATTCAAAGCATCTATGTATTTTTCTCTGCATCAACGGCAAATTTTGAAGCAACATCTGGGAACATCCTCTCTGATACTGAAACCTCTGAGTGCCACACAATGGGAAAGTCGAGTGGAGGTGATAAAGCCTATCAAACACCCAATTGGGAAGATAGATGATGCCATAGTTGCCATTATGGAGGATAACTGACAGGAACTGTTCGTGGGAGAACAGTGGCAGAGGGAAATGGAATCACCAGAAACATACATAACTTCAAATTTCTGTGTGGCTTAGTGTTGTGGCATGACATACTGTTTGAAATAAATGTTGTAAGCAAGAGACTCCAAGGTGTTGACCTTGATATATCTGGAGGAATGGAACAACTGGACAAAGCAAAGTCATACCTACAGTCTTACCGGTCATATGAAGGATTTCAAAATGTTCTGAAGAGTGCACAAAAGTTAGCAGAGGAACTTCACACTGAAGCTATTTTCCCACCCATTCAAGAGTCACCGAAAAAGACGACAGTTTGATTACGAGGTATGTGATAATCCCGTAAGAGACTCCAAACAACAATTCAAAGTTGAATTCTTTAACCAGGTGCTAGATTGTGCAATGCAGTCAGTTGCAGAACGTTTCATGCAATTTCAAGGAACACAGCAGTATATTTGGGATGTTGTATGATATTCCAAAACTCCTCACTATACCTGAAGAAGACCTACACCAGCAATGCAGGGCACTAGAGACAGTGTTGACACATGATGACATGCGCGATATTGATGCGAGTGATTTAGGTGATGAACTGAAAGACCTTTCAAGATACATTTCAGCAGGATCAACTCCAAAGGCTGTTCTGGAATATATGTGCACAAATAAGATGACCACCATCTTTCCAAATGCTTTTGTTGCTCTGTGCATACTACTAACACTTCCTGTAACAGTTGCCAATGGAGAACGCAGCTTCTCCAAGCTGAAATTAATAAAAACACATCTACGCTCCACAATGACACGGGAGAGGCTGGCCGGCCTTGCAACCATCTCAATAGATCATGAGCTGGCCCAGACTGTGGACCTTCAGCGGGAAGCAGTTCAAATCTTTGCAACCAAGAAGGCACAGAAAGCACCACTTTGATTATTCAAACAGATAAAAATGCCAGTGTTTACTATGCAAACAAGAAAAGTTACATTTACTGTTCAGGCGTTTGAAAGTTAAGTGTTACTTAAATTTTTTGAACAAGGCATTTTAAGTTGTTAGTTCTCCTTTATTGCGGTAGGTAGCAGAGCAGTACCATGAGAGGAGTAGAACAGGAAGAAGGCAGAATTGAGACTTTTCAAAGTTTAGGCCCAAGTGAGGGGGCATGGGGGTGTCATTTGAGCTCCCCGCCTCAGGTGCCAAAATGTTGTGGGCCGGCCCTGGCTTGGACAAGGATCCACCCTCCCTCCCCCCAAAATTGTATACATCCCTGTTCAGATGCACTGAGGCTGGGATGCTTTAGCAGACACCATTTGCTCCCTGAAAATGCAGCGGGCCTTGTCATTTTGAAGCTATCTGCACACAAATACTAATGAATGTTATCTGTAATTCCTATAACAGCCACAGTATAATAGTCTTATTTATAAAATAAATCAAAGCAATGCTTTACTATCAGTGTATAAAAGAATTCTCTAAAAGAATGATCAAATGAATACAATCCATTAAGCACATACTGGATATGTTTTCAGTTTTCATTGATCTGACTGTATCCTAGTACTGAGCAGTACTTTTCCACTGCAAATTTCTATTATACATTCTTAAAAGGGCTTTTCCAGACAGGATGTTAATGCACAACAAGCCAGAGTGTGAATATATAGCATGCTGGCTTGCCCCACAATAACATCCCGTATGCACACTGCTACAGTACACTAAAAGTTCCATTGTCAGAGTGCATTATGGAACTTTTAGTTCACCGTAGCAGTGCCCACACAGGACGTTACTGCATGGCAAGTTGGTGCACTGTAGATTCACACGCTGGCTTGCCACGCACTAACATCCTGAGTACATAAGCCCTAACATCGGGTGATATTCATACCTATGCAGAGGCCCAGCCCAAGGCATATGCACCACTTAAACCCTGAGAACACCAGACTTCAAGGGCTCAAAGGTGAATTTCATCCTCAATACACAGATCTAAATTTGCACTTATATAGGGATAGACAGGGCTCATCAACATGAGCTTACAGCAGCAGTCCCAACAATATTGGAGCAATATGGCCTAGTGGATAGAACACAGGACTTGGATTCAAGAGTCTCTGGTTCTATTTCTGTCTCTTCCACTGATCTACTGGGTAACCTAATGTAAGTCACTTTACCTCTCTTTGTCTCAGTTTCCCATCTGGAAACTGGATATACTAATCCGGACCTCCTTTGTAAAGTACTTTGAGATCTAATGAGAAATGCTATTTAAGAATATATAAGGTGGTAGAATTATTATATGGGACTTACTCGTGTAAGTGGTCATTCGTATGAGTAAGGGTTGCACAATGTAGCCCAAGGTAAATGGAAATAGTTCTCCCATATGTACTATTTGGCAAATTAATAATGTTTACAAATCAGATTTTTTGTCCATATTACAACTGGTCCAAATGTTCTGAATTCTGAAATTTTGATGAAAAGCTTTGTTGACATTCTGAATTTAGATGAACTTACTACTTTATTGTAAGTGCTTCAGAGGAAGAAGTGTCTCTTACTATGGGTTTGTACTGTGAGTAGTAGAATGGGGCCCAGTCTCAATGGGGGCCTTTAGGATCTACCATAAATACAAATAAATAAAAATAAGGACAAATTTTTACTAAACTTTTGCAAATTATTCTTCCCATTTTATGACCAGCTCCAGTAAATATCATAGTTTTATACAAAACAAGTGACATATCTTATTACCTGCGATATTAATAGTTACTAGCAGGGGGGGTTAGATCACAGTTTTGTCTAGTCTAAGTATTTAACATCCAATTGTCAAGCCCCTAATTTAAAACTAAAGATTTTCGTAACTGCATTATCTACAGAATGTTTAAAAATGCATATATTTACCTGCCATCATCGCTACCATGCTGGCTTTGTAGACATTGGTAAGTGATCCCAACTCTCCTGTTGCCAAGATTGTTTTCATGTGAGCATCTCCACAGGCCTGACGAAACTGACGGATCTCCTCATAGAGGCCTACAGGAAAGTCATAAAGCTGGTCAAGAAACATTCTGAAGTACGGTGTTTATTTCCACTTCTGGGTGAATCCAGGTCTAAGAACTAGTTATAAAGCAAAATGTTAAAGGTTCAAAGAATCACATTGCTGTGTAGGTAGTTAGCACTGCTATACAGTTTCAAATTCATTTTAATAGCTGTTAACTTCATTTCATTCAGAACCAAGAAAATATTCAAATATGAGAACAAGACAGCAGTATAAACAGGACAAAGACTTAAAAATCTCACTGACTAGCCCTAAATATACCAATAAAACATTATCAATACTTCTAAAGTCTCTCCTGTTTGCTTGTTAATAGCTTTCCTGTACATTCATTGTGTCATTTTTCTCCTTCTCACTCCAGCCTTCTGATGTTCTCGGCCTTCTCATCAACTTTCTGGAATGTGTTTTTCAGCCTGTCCCACTCTGTCTTGTCTTCCACTCCTCTTCTACCCCACCATTTCTAATTCTGCCCTTAGATGACATACACAGTTCCCAATGGAGTTGCATACATGCATCCAAGGGCAGAATTTGGCCCTTATCCTTTTCCATAATTGATAAGATGAGCTGGTTAGAATTCAGGAAGGAGCTCTTGTGTGAACCTGTAGCTATGAAACAAACAAACCAATAAAACTCTGCTTTTGAATCTGAAACGATTGTCATAGCCACAGGAACGCCACACCCCCAAGTGCCCTTCCCTTGCAACTTGACAGACTCTTATTTCAGTATGGACTAGAATAAATTTGAAAACATTAAGAGACTTCTAATTGGTATTGTTTTAAAAAATGATTAAACCTCTTTGACCTGATCAGATAATGAGGGGTGAGTGTGGAAGCACTGGGAAATCCACCATATTTTGGTGGAGACTGAAGTATTCTAAAAACACAAAGCATGGGAAACAGCCACTAGATAAATCCAAACATGAATATTAATACACAGTCATGCTTTTCTAGTAAAATATAACTACAGACATTTTGAAAAAGGGCAGATACCCCAACATTAGCGACCTGGAGAAATCAAGTATGGGAAGCCCTTTCAGTGGAAATAATGACAGACAGCTTTATATCAGAATCAAGTAGTTTCTCTAATATAATGTTCCCATTTTTGGAATTTTAACAAAATAAAGATACAGATAAAGGATGACCAACCAAACTGGGTCCTTTAAAGGTAACAAATTCAGATTATGAGTAAGATTTGTTAATACATGAATGGAAATCAATGTATATTAATAATGATAAAATAAAGTTAAAATATATTTAAATACATCTTTGCTGTGCAATGACCATGATAATTGTGGACACTACAGAGCAAAGACATGTTTAGTGATAAACTAGCAATCCTCTCTCCATCCCCAAGAGACTCTCCAAACCATTCAGTGGACTTATCAAACTGCTTCACTGCTGGTCCTCCACTCCACCTGCTGTGCTTCTGCATTCTATTGATGTCAGGATGTAGCTGCTATGTTTGATAGCACTGCAGTGTTCCGCTGCGACATACTATGCATATTAGCAGACAACTGGCTAATGCACTTAGTGAGTCCCTTTATAGACACCTGGCTTACTTCACATCTCACTATGTACCCAAAGTGTGAATTAATCAGTGCTACCATACAGTCGAACATGTATTATTGATACTCCAGAAGCCTCCTAGATCAAATCAACACTCAGAAAGGAAACACAAAGAACCTGTGTTATTTGCTTGAGTAGAGGATTTGATAAGTGATAATATGACTGGTTGATGCTCATATTAGATCATAATACAGTCTCTTTTTGTGGAGTGACTATTTCCTGAAGCCTTTAGAAAACCAAGGAAAGCAGCTTTCATGTTCTACTAGTTTCAGTAGCAATAAGAAAAGATTCAAGTTTTCTCTAGGTCTAAGACATGCTGCCAAAAATTTCAAAATAAATTAATAGAATGTAAATTTAGGTTGGATGCCATGAAAGAAAATTATCTTGTTCTCTGAAGGTAGTGCTGTAGTTATAGTATTATCCCCCCCACACACACTTTTGATATGTGCTTCTATATGAAATTAGTGCAGGAATGAGTTAACTGCCTCATTAGCCAATGGGATGTGTGGCACCCAATGAAGAGGAATAACTGAGGCTCCTCAGCCATCAGTATCTTTTCTGCCACATTCTTCAAGATAATAGTGAAAATGGATATGTACTTTTCCCCCCTGACTCTAGCAGTGGGGACACAATAACATGTCTGTAATAATTACCATATATTCAGAGAACAATACTTACAGATAATATCTTGTTTTTATTTGGTGCCTTTGATCCTAAAATATCCCAACACACTTTTCAGTTTTACAGCACCTGGGGGGAAGGTACCCTACTGGCACAAGGCATATTGCAATATAGTAAAGAGAAAGGAAGTTTTGATCACGGATGTTGGGACAAACCCCTAACCCTATAAAAAAGGCTTCAGTATTCACACAGAGCAGACGGGAGGCCATTTTAAGGCTGCATCCAAATTACTTGCACAAGCTTCATGATACTCAAGTTGCATGCTTCCTAAAGAAACCGGGCTGAGTAGATCATACCGAACCTGAACTCATGATTTCCTGGAGTCCTGGCTTTGTATGTGGTAGGGTTTGCTGCCAAAAATGTGTGTCTGTTGTTCAGCTCCACCAGTCCCATCACTGGGAAAGTGCATACAGGATGCTAACAGCCCCTGGTATTTTAACCACTATGTTGTTCAGATTTCCTGAAGAGGGCTAGATGACAAAGTGGTTAAAATGCCAGTGACTGCCTCATGCCTTGTCTACACCAATGCTCCTTTTGCTACAATTGGTGGCACTGAACCAATTAGTAGTAATGGTGGAAAACTTCTTTTATGTCAAAAATGACTAGTGTAGAAACAGCCTTCTTGTTTCAGATGTGAAACTTAGACCATTACACTACTCCACTATCATTGGAAAGGCTGTGAGAGCGCCAACTTCTGGCTGTTGTAAAAAAAAAACAGCCAACCAATCCTCAACACTCCAGGGAAAATTGTTAATAGTAGCAAACACGGAGCAATATCTGTATTAAAAGTTGTCACTTTCAACTCAGCAAAGACTCAAAGGGGAGAAAGAGAATCATAGCCTGTCTTTTAGCCTTTAGATTTGGGTAAGATCCTCAGCTGATATGTAAATCAGCATATCCCCATTGACTGTTGTAAACTGGTACCACTAAAGTCAACAGAACTGTGTCAGTTTACACCAGCTGAGGAGCTGACTGAGGTACAGTCTGTGCTGATGGGGATGCAGAGTGGCATGAGGCAACAGCAGCTTTGTTAAAAGACTGAGCCCCTCAGTGACTCTGCTCAATCTTAAAATTTTCCTTGGCCTGCCAAAGAATTTTAGTGGATTTGTGGCCCTCTATTATCTTAAAGTTGCTCAACCCTGTTTTAAGGAATTTCTCCTTTTCTGGTTTGACCTTCACTCGCTCTTTTGTTGGTTGGTTGGTTTTTTAATCTTCCTTTCCTTTCTCTTCTCATAGTTCTCTCCCCTCCGTTTCCATTCCTCACCCATCTTCTTGCAATGAGAATCAGAAACAAGGTCCCCCACCAAATCCAGGCAAGTTTTGGAAGGTGAGAAGGTAGTGAAGTGATTTTGTTGATGTCACTCTCCAAATACAGGTCTGTCAATAGCCCCGTTAACCATGCAACTTCCTGTTACCAAAGTCCAGTGGGCCAATGGAGATGGAGACAAATTCTGAAGTGGCCTTTTGAAAAGGTGACAGATCCTTCAATTCCTTAGTGGCATCCGAGAAGGAAGCCTTTCTGGAACCAGTAGTAGGGAGGGATTTGGTATATAGTTCCCCTATGGAGTTCGGCCTTCAGAAGACATTGGTGCTTCAACTATAATAGAGCAACTGATGGTGAGCTCATTATTACCTAGAAGGGATTGGCGGAGATTGAGCAGCATGATCATGACATCTCAGCAGGCTTTGGGACCATAGTGCCCAATCCCACACACCTATTGATGTCAATAGAGAGATTCCCATTAACTTCAATGGGCCATGGATCAAGCCCATATTTTTTGACACATGGCCTATACTGTGGTATAGTGTTCCATTTCCATTTCTGCAGCCTATTGCTCTCCCAAACAAAAATGTCATTTGCCTTTCATTCATAATAAGCCAGTGGAAAAAATCAGATAGTTAAATACACAATACTTTCAGAAAAGTACTACTGTACTAAATCTGCTCTTTAACAATTTTTTAACGTGCACCATTAGAAAGCTTGTTAAAAATTGTTAAAAAGCAAATTTAGACTATTATATTTCCAGTGCAATAAATATATTCAACAATATGTAAGAATAGCTTTAAAGTAACTCTCAGTATAATTGGATGTTCACTAAAATACTTAATATAACATTGTCCAGCAACTTTTTAAACAAAGTAACAAAAAACTTAGAAAATGCAGTTTTCATCTATCAAGGTGACTCCAATTATCCCACAGTCTAGGGGGAAAAAGCTGAAAAAATACATAAAAACAGAAAGATCTAGTTTACAAAATAAAAAACTTAATATAAACCACACATATTTTTGTCAAGAACACCTGAAGTTTTGAAGAATCACAGCATGAGAAAACAACCATAAAAATACACTGGGGCTACAAGTATATGCAAAGGTTCTGTCATTATTATAAAGCACATGAGCAAAGCAGTTGTGGTTTATGAAGTCACTGGAACAAAGATGTATTTACTGCCCTCGCCACCACTTTTCAATTTTATATAACACATGGGTCCTGCTTGGAAAGACTTCCTTAGCCCTTTCTCTGGCTTCCTCAAATAAATTGTAGAATGCAAAAAGATTTATCATTTCTAGACATTAGATATAGCCAGAGTTTGGGCTATATTATAAATCATATATATGTCTGTAGAATGTTAATCCTATATACTGAACATCAGCCTTGCAACAAAATTTTCCTTCATCCACTAGAGTTGCTTTCCTTGATGGGCGAGTTAAATATCAGGGTTTTTTTCCCCCCG